CGCCCCGTTTCCCTCGCCTTCTTTTGTCTTGAGATTGTCTTCAGGCTGTTCCAAACCCCTCTGATGTTGTCCTGTTCCAGCTGCTCTTCCATCTTCCTCCTGTAGTTTTCCTTCCCTTGCCTTATTTTCCATTTCAACTTCTTCTGGACAACTCTCAGCTCCTGTTTGTCTCCAGATCTACAGGGTCACTTCTTCTCCTTGAGGAGAGCCTTTATTTCAGGATTTATCCACGGCTTGTTGTTGGAAAAACACCGTACCTTTATGATTGGTACGGTGTTGTCCACACAGAAGTTCATGTAATTCATAATGCGATGCTGTTGAGGTCATCCGCCAGGGGGCTGCAGAGGTTGTCCCACACAGTAGAACGGAAACAGTCCCTCAGGGCCTCTTCAGTCTCTGCCGACCATTTCCTTACTGTGCGTTTCACAACTGGCTCTCTGTGTACTAGAGGTTTATACACAGGCTGGAGATGAACCAGGTTGTGATCTGAGCCCCCCAGGGGAGGAAGAGGTGATGAGCTGTATGCCTCCTTGGTGTTGGCATACAATAAGTCCAATGTTTTATTGTCTCTAGTGTGGCAGGTGACATACTGGGTGAAGGTGGGGAGAGTGAAGGACAGGGAGATGTGATTAAACTCCACAGACATACACAGCTATCACAATAACATATGTGAACTCCCAGTATGGTCTCATGCTAACCGCTAGCAGCTCAATGTCCTTGCAGCATAGCGTCTCTTTGATAGATAAATGCCCAGAGTTACACCATCCATCGTTCACAAACACAGCCAAACCCCCTCCTCTCTTCTTACCACTCTCCATTGTTCTGTCTGCCTGGATCAGATGGAAACAGTCTATGTTTATGTGTGAGTCCGGAGTTAGCGCAGTTAGCCACGACTCAGTGAAGCACATCACGCTGCACTCTCTGTAGCTCCTCTGATGTTGGGTTAGAGCCGCCAGTTCATCCACTTTTTTGGGGAGCGATCTCACGTTCCCCATAATAATAGATGGAATTGCTGGCCGGTACCTCCTAACCTTACTGCGACGCCCGATCCCAGCCCGTGTACTGCGTCTCTTCCTCCTCACCTCGCGGGGGTTGTTGGCTCGCTCGGCGGCAGGCAGCACAGTGGAGGCCTCGAGGGCTAACAGCTGATCCCTACCGTAAACAACAGGAGATCTACCTTTTCGGAGCCATGATAACAGGGTTCTTGTTGATCGGAGCTGGCTTGGCCCTGGCTTATCGAAGATTAAAGAAAGCGGAATCGGCTGATCAAAACCCCACTAGGCTGCCCGCTGTGATTGAAACGATGGGACGAGTCGTGAGTTCTCAAAATGGGCTCATTGAGCCCAGCACGGATAAGATCTTGGAGAAGATTGAGGCTGCTGTGAGCACTCAGAATAAGACCTCTGAGCGAAAATTGGATTACATCTTGGAGAAGCTCACGGCGGACATGAGTTCTCAGAATTTGCTCTTTGAGCGCAAGACTGATAACATCATGGAGAAGCTCACGGCTCTCCAACGGGAGATTGAGAGACCAGTGTCGGACTGCTAGAACAGCTTTGAAATGCGTATGATTTGTTCGCACTAAAGTAAAAACCACCATCATTTCATGCGGCTACCACTTCGGCGCCAGCTGTGGTTTCAAGGCTGGAGCTGAACAAAAACACCCTGATAACGACTGTGCACAGACTGTTCTTCCTATCCTACGCAAGGCCACCTGGGTTGGCTGGAAGACTGTTTACTTAGCCTGGCAGGGCGAAGGACACTGTCTCAGCTGAACTCTGGACACACACACACACAAACACATACACTGATACACACACACACACATACATATGCAGATATCCTTTCCCGGAACCAACTCCTCCTGCCATGCTTAAATCCCCGTCGATGGAGACAGTGGCTCAGCTGGAGGCGCGAAGAATCGCAGTGTCTGCGACCACTGTTGTACAATGGCGTACCCCCGCCCTTATGTTGCTGGTCTGTGTTTCATGGCGTATAGTGTGATGATATCTGTGCTCTTTATGTGCTATGGAGTTTTTTTTGTGTTTTCTCCTCATGATGACTCAGAGTCATCATGAGGATGACCTTTTTTTCTCTCCTGACCTTGCCCTTATATGTTATATATTTCACTGTCTACCCCTCCTTTTTTTGCTGCCTAGCCTGACCTGTCTCCCCATTGTAAGTCTGTATATTGTATGTATTGTCTGTATGGTCATCTAGGTCTGTCATCTCAGCTACAGGCAACTGCAACTGACAAATAAAGCTTATCCTTATCCTTATGATCTGAAACATTTAAGTGTCAGAAATATGCAAAAAATCTCTAGAATATTTTGTATCACCCCCATAGAGCAATTTGTTTTCAACTGGTTCACTAGAGTTTCTAAAAATGCAAGAAAGGTGTGTGAGGTGTGTTCAAGATGGCGCCGGTGTGTTCAAGATGGCGCCGGTGTGTGTGGCTTTCCATCTGTCACTGCCAGTGTTATGTTTGTTTGTGTTGATTCTATTGACTATTGTAATAAATGCCAACTCTCTCTTGGTGTATGATCGCCAAACTCTAGTGGATCTCCGACCTTCTGCCAACGATTGGGCAAACTATCTTTTCTTTCCAAAATTCTTGAAAAGGTAGTTCACACCAAATTAATGGCCTTCCTGGTGCTTTAGAGGATTTCCAATCTAGTTTTAAACCCTTTCATAGCACTGAATCAGCCCCTTTAAATGTTTTTAATTACATATTTTTAGCCACTGAGGCTGGGGACTATGTTGTTCTAGTGCTTTTAGATTTAACAGCTGCTTTGATACCGTGGATCATGCCATTTTACTCTCTTCTTTGGAGCACTGGGTGGGCATTAGGGGCACAACACTGGAGTGGTTCAGGTCCTACTTGGCGGGGTGAACTTTCTGTGTCAGTCTCGGTGACCATGTGTCGTCCTCCACTCCTCTCTTGTGTGGTGTCCCACGGGGCTCAGTTCTTGGCCCCCTCCTCTTTTCTTTATATGTGCTTCCTCTTGGTTCTGTACTGAGAAAGCACGGCATTGCATTCCACTTTTATGCTGATGACTGTCAGATCTATGTCCCTCTAAAGAAAAAAGGCACATACTCCACACAGCCATTAATTCAGTGTCTCGATAACATTAAGGCTTGGATATCTCTTAACTCTTTAAAATTCAATGATAAAAAGACTGAGGTGATGGTTTTTGGTGGCCCCACTGAGACCCCCAATGTGTATTTAGATACCTTGGCCCAGTATGTTAAACCAGCTGTCACAAACCTGGGGGTCAAAGTGGACTTTGATCTGAAGCTTGACAATCAGATTAAGGCAGTGGTAAAATCAAACTTTTTTTTAGCTCAGACAGCTGGCAAAAATAAAGCCAATTCTTTCACGGCAGCACTTTGAGACAGTGATCCACGCCTTTGTTAGCACTTGGCTGGATTACTGTAATGCGCTTTATATAGGGGTCAGTGCTTCATACATTACTCATCTACAGAGGGTGCAAAATGCCGCAGCTCATCTTTTAACTGGCACTTGAAAGTTTCCCCTATTTTAGCTTCACTTCACTGGCTGCCCCTTTCTTTTAGGATTCAGTTCAAAATTCTTTTATTTGCTTTTAAAGCTCTCCATGGCCAAGTCCCATCTCATCTCTCTGAGCTGCTACAGTCTTATACTGTACATCCACCCGCTCTCTCAGGTCAGCTGATCAGCTGCTCCTGAATGTAACCATGGGCGTAAACTTAGAGGACATTGTGCTTTTGCTGTAGCAGCTCCTGAACTGTGGAGTGATCTCCCTTTAGAGATTAGACAGGCTTCCTCCCTACCTGTTTTTAAGTCTCTCCCGAAAACCCACCTCTTTACCCTGACCTTTGACACCACGTGAAATGTTTGTTTTTTATTTTTAAGTTGTGTTTTATTTGTTTTTAGTTGATCCCATGCTGTTTTATCTTGTTTGTTTAATATAGAGCTGTTTTAATTTTTAATGTTTACGTATTATGTGTTTTATTTTTTTATTTATTTTATTTAATTTTTTACTTATTTTCTGTACAGCACTTTATCCTGTGCTGGGTATTTTAAAGTGCTTTATAAATAAAATTGGATTGGATTGTGTTACAGAATAAATATACAGGGAGTGCATAATTATTAGGCAAGTTGTATTTTTGAGGAATAATGTTATTATTGAACAACAACCATGTTCTCAATGAACCCAAAAAACTCATTAATATCAAAGCTGAATGTTTTTGGAAGTAGTTTTTAGTTTTTTTAGTTTTAGCTATTTTAGGGGGATATCTGTGTGTGCAGGTGACTATTACTGTGCATAATTATTAGGCAACTTAACAAAAAACAAATATATACCCATTTCAATTATTTATTTTTACCAGTGAAACCAATATAACATCTCCACATTCACAAATATACATTTCTGACATTCAAAAACAAAACAAAAACAAATCAGTGACCAATATAGCCACCTTTCTTTGCAAGGACACTCAAAAGCCTGCCATCCATGGATTCTGTCAGTTTTGATCTGTTCACCATCAACATTGCGTGCAGCAGCAACCACAGCCTCCCAGACACTGTTCAGAGAGGTGTACTGTTTTCCCTCCTTGTAAATCTCACATTTGATGATGGACCACAGGTTCTCAATGGGGTTCAGATCAGGTGAACAAGGTGGCCATGTCATTAGTTTTTCTTCTTTTATACCCTTTCTTGCCAGCCACGCTGTGGAGTACTTGGACGCGTGTGATGGAGCATTGTCCTGCATGAAATTCATGTTTTTCTTGAAGGATGCAGACTTCTTCCTGTACCACTGCTTGAAGAAGGTGTCTTCCAGAAACTGGCAGTAGGACTGGGAGTTGAGCTTGACTCCATCCTCAACCCGAAAAGGCCCCACAAGCTCATCTTTGATGATACCAGCCCAAACCAGTACTCCACCTCCACCTTGAGTTGGACTGGAGCTCTCTGCCCTCCTCTCTGAAAAGGATGATGTGGACAAAATACTCATTTGCCTAATAATTCTGCACTCCCTGTATATTCTTAGTGCTTATTTTCTGATTATATTGTTTTATGTATTTTAATAATAAAGGCCTGTATAAAGGCCAGCTGTGAGAGAGAACTAGGTCAGAGGGGACAGGTCGCCTTAGCAACAGAGGCTTAAGTTAGTGGAAGTTTAAGAAACAGGAAGTTTAGTGCAGAGCTGCAGAGGCATATTAATCAAATACAGGAAACCAGACAGAAAAAGCGGAACTAGTAACACAGAAGGAGTTGTTTTTATCGAAACTGTGTGACGTGTAAAGGACCAAAATAACACCTATATGAGACACATTTTTGGCTTCTAATGGTAGAGATTTTGCAACTGGCTTTGGGCTGTGCAGGTCTCTCTCTTCTGGAAGATGAATAAATAAAAAAAATTATGAATATCTTGACTAAATGAGTCGTGTTCTCTCTATTCAGTAAAAGAATGACAAGAATCAGATTTAATAATTGGAAAACAAAAAACCATAAATACATCATTTGTGAAAACAGCAAGAATTATTTTTTATGAACACACCTGATTTGGATGACTGGATTTGCTATGTACTCAGAAAAAATCTTATGTCTGCTTCAGTTTTAAAAGGATGACATTCTTTAACAAAATCACTCTGCAGTGTTGAAACCCACAGCTCTTTCAAACACCCTCTGAGCATCATCAGCAAGCTTATTAAGAGAAAACATCAGAAGTTTGTAGGGGGTGATATAAGAGAGACTCATTGCTGCTGGGCTCCCAAATTTTGGAATGGATCTCGAACGATCCTTTACTGCCAATAACGCAGCTGTAACTGTAAGAGTGATCAACACCTTCATGATGAGATATTTGTCAGTTTCTACTCCAGCTAATGGCGACTTGATGACAGCACACAGATCCATGTAGGTCACTCCTGATGTGACAGCAAGTTTTTTAAGTGATGGCTTATCAAGAAAAAACCCCTGTACACAACCTCTGACAAATGCAGCCATCAAGCTCAGATCAACAGCAGCAGAAACTGCAGCAACTGGAACAGCTCCTGCAGCTGCAGACAGCAGAGTGAAGAACTTTAACTTAGTCAGAAAAGCTTCTTTTTTTCCGTTGTTGATCTCCAGGCTGATATTCTGCACAGGCAATAGCAGAACATGTTTCTTGAGTTCAGGAAGTTCTCTGTCGAAGGTTTCTTGTAAGAGAGAGAAGTCATACAGGTGGGGATGAAAGCTGGACACCAGGAACACCTGTGGAGACTCGATGCCTTGTTCTTTAAGACCTGTGTTAAGTAAAATACAGAGATATGTTTAACTTGATGATTATGATCATAAAGCAGATTTTTCTCATTTCTGTTACATGAAAAAAATCCTACAAACAATACTCCTTCCTTCCAATACTTCCTACTGTGGCTCAATAAAACCTCAACTCTGACACAAAGAATGCCAATTTGTAGAATCTGTAGTTTAACATGTAAATAAGCATGAACACATCTTTTTGGTGTTTATTTTAATACTGTAAGATCATTAAAAGAGACACTCACCTTGAACACAATCTTCCCTCATTTGGGTAAGAGTCCTCTCTTCACTGAAGTCTTTCTTTCTTTGTGCAGCTTTTATGTTGTTATCAATCTTTGTGCGAACAAAGTAGAAATTTTTCTTCATTTTTTGAATCTCCTTTGCGAGTTTCACATCATTTTCTCTGAAGCGATCAGCTGAGATGATGATAAAGAAGTCAAACTTCTCAAATCCAACAAGCTTTAAGTACTCATCCGCTGGAAATTTGGTGCTGCCGATTCCAGGAAGATCCGAGAAAGTAACATTGGGATATTTTGGATGAGGGTACACTGAGGTGGTATCTACAACATCAGCTCCCCCATCTTTATCTTTTATGCCTCTAAAGGCTTTTAGAAAGGATGATTTGCCTGCATCACATTCTCCTGTGATAGCAATATTTAATGGAATATCATTATTTTCTAAATATGTTTTAATCTTTGCAGCTGCTGCAGCAGGATCATTGTTCTTCAGATCACTTTTAACTGAAGCAAATAGATCCTCCATGCTGATCCTTAAACAAAAGCAGAAAAAGTCGTTTAAGTTGCTGCACTTGACTTTGATAAGTCATCAATAGTCAGATGTGATTTTAATCTTATATTTCTTCTTCTCTGTTTCAAGCTGCTTGGTCACATTTTCAGATTCACAGAAACAAAGAGATTCTAAGCCTACAGAAACTTCCTCTGAAGGAGCCGATTTGAGGATTGTTAGGATCTTCAAACTGTGGGATATCTTTAATGTGTCAAATGGTTCATTCCAATAAAGGGGAGGCACTTATTCCAATAAATAAGTGCCTCCCACCTGACCACCTCAGAATCAGTAGGGTTTTTTTTGTTTGTTTTTTTACAAGCAGGGGTAGGCAACCTTTCTGATGACGAGTGCCATCTAAAATTTCCTCAGTAGTCAATGTGCCATATGACTGCATTAGCAAGAAATGTAATAATACTCTGTGTTAACAGTTACACACTATATAGAACAACTTTATAGAATTGTATATTTGTTCGCAGATGTTGGCAGCAATCAGCGAATAGTTATCAGCTATTTTGAAAAAAAAAAAGACACTTTTTATCCATAACAGCAAATGAACTGTACAACAGAAAATACAAATGCTATTTATGGTCTCCTCACAACAATGATAAGAGAAATAAACTGGGCCAATATGGCATGTTTGTTAATACAGAGATACACATGTTAATGTGATCTCTGGTCTCCCACTCAGAGACACAGGTCTCCGAGTGTCCAGCATTCAGACGGCTACCTGAGGACACTCGTGTGAGAGAAAATCTGCTCACACAGATATGTAGAGCCAAATACTGTCAATAAGGCCTCTGCAATGTTCTGAAGACAGTTAAACTTGTCAGGTAGTGATGTCCACCAGGTGAACATGCAGCTCCATGAACACGCACGCAGAGACCAGCCCACCAGGTATTATAGGAAAAGCCATAAAGCCTTTGAATGAAAACAGACACTGTTGTGACAGTGATGTACAGTCTTGTTGGTATATGTATAATTTCTATACATTTTACATCAGATAAAATCTTTGGTTGTAAAATTCAGATAATTATTTTTTAAAAGCGAGACTTTTTAAATAAGAATAAGAAAGAAAAGTATTTCTTCATCACTGATTGAAGAAAATAAGAACAACCCCAGGTTTCTCTTCAGCACTGTAGCCAGGCTGACAAAAAGTCAGAGCTCTTTTGAGCCAACCATCCCTTTAACGTTAACTAGTAATGACTTCATGAACTTCTTCACAAATAAAATTTT